ATGTGGAGATGAGTGCCGCAAAGGTCTGATTCTTACCTAAATAGTTTCATGTCCTGCCTACCCGTAGACCTCTCCATTCTACACCCGTCTCTGCATTTCCTAAGCTGCTTCTTCATGCTTACGGTTTTCTCCATAATCCCAGATTGTGCCACTTTTAAACTCTAGGCATCGAGAAGTAGCAGATGTAATTTATTATAATGTACACGGTTGACAACTCCCAGCCTTTTCAGGTGCCCTGGAAGAGGAGTACTGTGCTTGTTGATTCCCACAGTGTTGAGATGCAGCAAAAGTGAGCTCAAAAGTTCATGATCTATCTGTCCAGGGCAAAAAAATACAAGCGTTTAGTATTATGTCATGATAGAATTCCTATCTTCTTAAAATGAATTCTTGCTATTCTTTAAATTCAGGGTTGTAGGTACTTAGTCCTTTACGAAAAGCAAAGTTCAAACACAAGATGGTTTTCTCTGTCCCGGCCTGAACTGCAAGAGACGTTTCTAATTTATTGTTCAGTCACTCGTACTAATTTCAGATTGTTTACTAGTCATGGGTGTGCCTTTTCATGCTTCTCCATTCTAAAAGGTAATGGAGTGTTTTGTGATTGCTCACTTAGTTCTTTGAAAGTGACTTGTTTTCTGTAAAATTAACCATGTGAAAATTAACTTATTTTGGACTCAGTCATATGCACTGAAGATAATTCATTTTAGGCTTATTTTAATTTAGGGCTAGCTGGCTGTGGTGTTAGTATTAGGGAGTGGTTTGGTTGGGGAGAACTTATAAACATTTTGGTGAGTGGTGTTGCCTTGCCTGTATTAAACCCAGAGCTAGATGTTGGGGGCCTTGGGAATTTTTCTTTAAACGTGAAGAAGGCGGGGTTTTACCCAGTAGAATTAGATCACAGTAGATTAGATCACAGTATTAGATGTGTGAGTACAAAAAGCAAATGAAAGAGAACATTCCAGATAGCAAGAGGGTGGAAAACTAGATGGCTGCTGGCAGAAAACCTTTTCATATACTTGTAGAAAACAACGGAAGTACGTACTAATTTAGTTTAGCGCAATCTAGTTTTTCCATCCCTTTACTTTTTATCTGTATGCGTCTTCATTTTTAAAGTCGATTTCTTGTAGACGACATCTAGTTGGGTCATGCTTTTTTGACCTACTCTGACAATCTTAATTGCTGCAATTAGACCTTTGACATTCAAAGGGATTATTGATACAGTTGGATCAATATCTCCGATATTTGTTTCTGTTTTCTATTTGTTGCCTTTGTTCTTTGTTCCTGTGTTGTCTTCCACTCTTTTTCTGTCATTTATAACTGATGCAGGCTCACTTTCAAATAAGGGTATACCACTTGACTTGTACTGTGAATACCTTACAATAATACAATCCCAGTTCCTTTCTTCTGTCCCTTGTTTCAGTGCTGTTACTCATTTCACTTACATATGAGCATACCCAGCATTTCCCGTATCTAAGCATAAGCGTTCACGGAATGCATTGTCCCTGTTATTATTTTGAACAGGCTGTTATCAACTAAGAATAGAAATGAAAGTTTTTGTTACCTTCACCTATTCCTTTTTTGATGCTCTTCCTTTCTTTATATAGATCAGTTTCTGACCTATATTATTTTTTACTTCTCTCCAAAGAACTTATTTTTACTCTTCTCCAAAGAACCTTTTTTTTTTTTTTTTTTAAAGATTTCTTGCAAGGTAGATTTACTGGCAGCCAATTCCCTCAGTGTTTGTTTGCCCGAGAAAGTCTATTTCTCCTTTGCTCTTGTGAAGCACAATTTTGCAGGATATGGACTTCTAGATTTGTGGCTTTTCTTCTCTCAGAACTTTACATATTTTACTCCACTCTGTTCTTGCATGTGTGCTTTTTGAGGCGGAGTGAGATGTAATTATCTCTGTTCCTTTTTAGGTAAGGTGTTTCCCCCCACTCTGGCTTCTTTCAGTGTTTCCCCCCCTTTATCTTTGATTTTCTATAACTTGAAGATGATGTGTGGAGGTGTAGTTTTGGGGGCATTTATCCTGTTTAGTGTTTGCCAAGTTCCTGGATCCGTGGCTTGGTGTCTGACGTTAATTTGGAGAAATTCTTGGTGGTTGTTGTTCCTGATATTTTTTCTGTTTCTTTTTCTTCTCCTTCTGATCTTCCCATTATGTGTATGTTACACCTTTCGTAATTGTCCTCAGATAATTTGATTCTGGTTTTCTGAGTCTTTATTCTCTTTACTTTTAGGTTTTTGGGGATTCTGTTGATACTTCCTCTAGCCCAGAGATTCTTCCCTCATCTGTGCCTCGTCTACTAACAAGCCCATCAAAGAATTCTTCATTTTGGTCACAGCATTTTTTATTGCTAACATCTCTTTTTGGTTCTTAGGATTTCCATCTCTGCTTGCGTTGCCCATCTGTTCGTGGATGCTGCCTACTTTATCTGTTAGAGCCCATGGCAGATTCATTGTGGTTGTTTTAAATTCCCATTCTGGGGGAAAAAAAAATTCCCAGTCTGGTAACTTTAGTATCCCTGCCTTGTATGTCTCTGATGCCTACTCTTTCTCTTTACATTGTGTTGTTTGACTTTTTGTATGTCTTGTAATTTTTTCTTGAGAGCTGGGTGTGATGTGCTAGGTAAACAGGACTGCTATAAATAGGCTTTTGGTAATGTTGTGAGCTGTTGGGGGAGGGGAGTGTTCTGTAGTCCTGTGGTTGGGGCTCTTTTAATGATCTCCAACTTCACAAGGGCTTCTCAGTTTTTTTCTCCCCTTTTTGGTAGGACAGGATGGTTTGAATAAGCTGGAGTTGTATATTTCTCTTTCTTAGGTCAGTCGTTCTCTGATAACCCAGCATATTATGCTCTGGTTAGCCAGTTTCCCCAGAGGTCAGGCCTGCTTAAGAACAGAGTGCTCTGGCCTATTTCAAAATTGTTTCTTTTCCCTTTACTTAATTAAGCCTGAGAACATTTTTCCCTCATATTTATTGTGGAACCTGGTTGGCCTCTCAGAGATCGAAGATCTGTGGGGTTCCCCTCTGACTGGGTCCTCTTCCAGTTTTAACTCTGGAGGCTATCCACTCTGCGTTAATTGCAATTTGCCAGTTACTGTTCAGGTTTCCTTATACTTGTCGTCCATATCTGGATGGCTTTTTTAGGAGATTGGTTCTGTTTCTCTGTTGACTTACTATTTTCCCCTAAGTACCTTTGTTAGTGACCAGGTTCCTAAAATATCTTTAAATTATTTTCAGAATTCTGTGTATGCCATTCTTTCTTCTGAAGCATGTTCCTTGCTGTTCCCACACTCTGTAGGACTGCCACTGACTTAACTTGATTTTCACCTCTTTGCCCATTTCTCCCCAGTCTCAGGACAGGGAAGAAAGAATTGTTTCCGAAATGGAATAAAGAACAGCCATGTGTGGCTCCTTACCCTTCTCTATTCTTATAAACCTTCTCTCTTTTCTTTCCTTAAAGAGTCCTTTAGAACAAGAAAACTTGATATAACTGAGTCTGAAAATGAGTGTCACATGGCTGCAAGGGCACTTATTCTAGAGTCGAGTTCTGTAACATTCTAGCCATGATCATCTTGGGTTTTGTATCTTTGGGTGAGCATTTCACCTTAGTCATCTGGTACATACATGGTAGTTTAAAACTCCTTGTCGAAAATAACAGTGAGAATTCAGTGGAAAGTGTGTATGAAACACTTCTAGCGTAGTGCCTAGCATCGGACAGATACTCAGTAAATGTTTCACAGATTGTAACATCAAGCCTTTTCCTTTTGGTCCTGTTACTTTCTGTGGGATCCAGGCCTTTGAAGCCGAGCCCTGGAATTCTGTGGGGAAATCCAAGCTGGTTATCTTTTTGTAGCTGCCATTAAACTCCAGAGCAGACGTTCCTTAACATCTCATGAAGATGTTAATGGACAGTTCACGCTGCATGACTTTTCTCACGGATCCTGAGTTGTTTTTCCTCTGTGTTCTTTGTGACTTTTATGGTGTTTCTTACCTACTTTGCCTTTTGGTTTGAAAGGAGTGAGGTAAAATGACACACAAAAAGGGCTTTTTTTTTTTTTAACCCATCTTTTTTTATAGTGTAGTCTAAAGTTAAGAAACAACCAGTAAGAATATTGAAAAAAATGTACTCATAATTATTTATTTATTTATTTATTTATTTTCTATTATTTTACTCATAATAATTTATTAGTTTGCTTTACATTTTGATAAGCCTTTGGTCTTTATTTTATCTCTAGGGCTTCACAGTTATTATTCCCGTGTTGCCAGTTCAAACCACAGTATCAGCGGCAGGAGAGTTGTCGCTGTCACAGTCATTTCAGCCTGTGCCCCACTGGAAGGTGCTAAGAGCTGCCCATTCCGGATGCAGAACTTGAAAACCTTCCATTGCGAAGCATATGTCCTTTTTTCCGACTCCTTGTGTCTCCTCCTTGGCCTGGGGTGCCTTAGTGATTTTCAGATTTCTGTTTAGTGGCAAAACCATTCTTTGAAAGCTTTTCGGGAGGCTCCTTATATAAAACAGACCAGTCTGGGTACTCTGGTTTGTTTTCTTTTTTCCTTTTCCTTTTTAGAGGAAGGGTTTCCGGTGGGAGTGGGATCATTCCACTGATGGCAGGAGTCTCCCCAGAACTCAGAGCAGAAAACCACTGAGGTCTCTGTGCGTTGTGTTTTCGGATTTCTGGTGCTCAGGTGCTGGTTCACAGGGCAGGCACTTCCCCGGTCGTTTTACTTACGAGGGGCTGCACTGTCTATCGTTAGGAGTGCCCTGTCGGTGGACAAAAGCGTCCCCCTCTCAGTCTTTGTACTGAGTAGAAATTTCTTTCTACTTTGGTGAGTTGGCCTTATAAAAACTGTGGCATGAATGGAATTGAATCTTAACATGAAAGCAACAGAATTGAAGCAAAATCAGAAATGATGCAGGCTTTCATGTGTGGGATGCTTTTTCCTCTCATAAACAAAATTCCTTAAGAGCGAGTCTTGAGTTCTCCTGTTCTGTAACCAACAGGAGGACTCACAAATGGCAGTGGAAGATACATCTCTGCTGCTCCAGGCGCTGAAGCCAAGTACCGCAGCGCGAGCAGTGCCTCCAGTCTCTTCAGCCCCAGCAGCACCCTGTTTTCTTCCTCCCGGTTGCGATATGGAATGTCTGATGTCATGCCCTCTGGCAGGAGCAGGCTTCTGGAAGATTTTCGAAATAACCGGTACCCCAATTTACAACTGCGGGAGATTGCTGGGCATATAATGGAGTTTTCCCAAGACCAGCATGGGTCCAGGTGAGGACTTGGCTTTGGCACTTAAGGTAACTGAAATTTTAATGCCTTAAATTCCGTGCCTCAGATAAGGTAGACACTAGTAAATTGCCATAAAGCAATCGAAAGTTTGCCTTTTTGCGTGCTTCCCATTATGTATTTCAGAGGGAGGTAGATGTGAGAATCACTAGATATCCGGGTGATTGAAAAGAGCCGTTTAGTAATCTGGATCACATGCTGAATACAAACCTTTTTACCTTATTGTGGTGTTCCGAATTCATGGGAACCTCACAGATGATCTGTAATTTAGGGAACAGAAACACTAACACAAAGATATATGCATGCTTTTGCTACTGTTTGTTTTTTTAAGTTTATATATTTTGAGAGGAAGTGCATGGGGGAGGGGCAGAGCGAGAGGGAGAGAAAGAATCCTAAGCAGGCTCTGAGCTGTGAGGGTGGAGCCCGATGCAGGGCTTGAACTCATGAACCATGAGATCGTGACCTGAATTGAAATCAAGAGCTGGACACTTGGCGTCCCCACACTTTTGTGATTTTAATCACTATTAAGAGTCTAGTTCTTAAAATTTTTTTTTTTTCAACGTTTATTTATTTTTGGGACAGAGAGAGACAGAGCATGAACGGGGGAGGGGCAGAGAGAGAAGGAGACACAGAATCAGAAACAGGCTCCAGACTCTGAGCCATCAGCCCAGAGCCTGATGCGAGCCTGACGCGGGGCTCGAACTCACAGACCGCGAGATCGTGACCTGGCTGAAGTCGGACGCTTAACTGACTGCGCCACCCAGGCGCCCCAAGAGTCTAGTTCTTAAAGAGACATTATTCACATAGAAGTTTGGATTTCTCCTGCTCAGGAGTAAGATAGCTCCACCATTTTTCTTTGTTGTTCCGCTCTGTAGATGTGAGAGAGTCTGCATAGAGGTGAGAGGGAAGAAGGAAGCTGCCGTGTAAAACACAGAGTTTGCTTCTCCCTGTTTGGCTGTTCCAGTGGGCTTCACAGAAAGGGACCACCCTGGTCCTGGGGAAAAAGCCTAATTATGGTGACATCATCCGTCCTTCCTTCCCGTTTGTCTCCATGTCTCTTTCTTGCTCTCTGTGCCCACTGAAACAGCTTCTAAAGAATCCACCTCCTTTTTGAGTTCTGCCATCTTGCGACTGGGCGATTTCTTGTATTTGGATCCTATAGACCAGGTTGAGAGACAACATGGTTTTTCTTACATAGTCACCTGAACCTGAAAAATGAAAACTGAGTAGTTACTACTTCAGAAGACATTTGCAGGCATAAATAACAACTCTTCCGCGTCATGACTGACTACTGCTTTGTGTTAGCATGAGTTTAAAGAAGACAGTAAGGGCTGTAAGCTCTCAGTTTATTGATGTGGGACTCGTTTCTAAAGGAAAAAGTCAGGTAGGGTTCTCCCTGTGTTCTGTCCACCTTCAACCCCCTCTCTTTTCCTGACCCCCTCCTTGTTTCAGTTTATTTTGAGAGGGAGAGAGCGAGGGGCAGAGGAAGGGGGGTGGGGAGAGAGAGAATCCCAAGCAGGCTCCCCCTACTGTCAGCAAGGAGCACGCTGTTGGGCCTCGAACCCAAGAACCGTGAGATCATGACCTGAGCCGAAATCAAGAGTCAGACACTTAACCAACTGAGCCACCCAGGCGCCCTTCAAGTAATTCATTTAAATGACACTTGTGTGTGTGTGCCCATGTATGCACACACACACAGTTTCAGAACCGATACATTATATAAATTGAGCTAATCCTTATTTCCCCAAGTCTTCCTGAGATGCTAGGATTGCCATTTCTTTTGTACTTCAGATTCATTCAGCTAAAACTAGAGCGAGCCACACCAGCTGAACGCCAGCTTGTCTTCAATGAAATCCTCCAGGCCGCTTACCAGCTAATGGTGGATGTGTTCGGAAATTACGTCATTCAGAAGTTCTTTGAAGTAAGCCTTTGTTCCTTCTATCCTTTGACGTTAGAGAATCTCCAGAGCATTTTGATTTTCATTAGCTCTTTTTAGAATGGCAATCCCATTCCAGTCCTCAGAATGAAGCGTGTGTGATCTTTTTGAAGAGCTTTTAAATGTTTCTCCATTTAAACGATACGGCAGCAGTATATCATTTAAATACCCAAACAGATGTGCCAGTCTGTTTTAAAAATGTGTTTGGAGAACTGCTGTCCCCATTTAGAAACTAGCACGTTACTTCTGATTGTTATAATCATTTCGCTAAACGTGTCATTTTTAGAGGAAATAATCTTTGTAAGATATTTTAGTAGGATCATGATAAAGTGTTCTAAAAGATGAAAAAAATTATTTAATTTTGAAAGACAGAGAACAAGAACATGAGCAGGGGAGGGGCAGAGAGAGAGGGAGAGAGAGAATCCCAAGCAGGCTCCATGTTGTTGGCACGGAACCCGATGTGGGGCTCGAACCCACGAATCGTGAGATCCATGACCTGAGCCGAAATCAGGAGTTGGACACTTAACTGACTGAGCCATTCACGTGCTCCAAAAATGAATTTTTGTTTTTAGAATTCCTAGAGAGTTATCTTTGAATGTCAACTGTAGTGTTTTTTTATTTTAAACTATAGTTCTAAAGATTATTAAACGCTTCTTTTTAGCTGATCCTTCAGCTTTGGTTTCTTATTTACTTCTATTGTTGTGAATAACATCCACTCTTGTTACCGTTGTTTTTGGAAAGGATTAATAGAGTTTTGGATTAAAGTCTGTTTCCACCACTAAACTGGTGTCAGAAAGGCAGGTACACTGATATCAACAATTCCAAGTCCTAAATCCAGAAGGGAATGAAACATTGAGAAGAGTCTGGTACAGAGAAAAATGCCGGAAGTGGACATTACCTTCCCCAATCAAAAGAAATTTGTAAATTTTATGCATCTTGTTTTATGCAGTTTGTATGAAGATTAAAAAAAAAATGGCTCATGGCCTTTGTCTTCCCAACTTTTCTCATAAAGACTTAAGTTTTTTTGTTAGTGATTCGTTAGCAATACACTAAGGAATCCACTTAAAATGACTTACATTATTGATTTTAGAATAGCTTTCACTCTGTGACCCTTTTGTCACAGATCTAAAAATGTAGAGCTCTCCACCTCTAGAGGTTAATATGCAGGTAGAGGTGGCCGAATGAACAGTGGATTATAGCTGTATGACTTGGGACGAGCTAGAGAACGTCCTGGCTCAGACAACGTCCCTGGTCCGTAGTTCCCTTGTGTGGGGAATGAGTGGGTTTGGGAAGCTGATTATATATAAAGTCTCCTTCACTCACATGATTATGCCGTTCAGATGAAAATAAAAGGCCAGCAATGGGAGATCATTCTAGGAAGAGTTTTGGCACTTGTGCAGCCTGACCTCTTGCTTCAACTAATGTGCCCCCAGACTCCGTTGCCTTGTGTAAATAGAACATTTCAGTTCTTAGAGTGATGTAGAACCCTACTTCAAAACAGGATGTCCCTATGTTAAGTTTCCAGTAGATGAAAGAGGAACTTTCTAATCCATGGGCCTTGGACACCTGAGTGCCATAGCTTTGCTCCAAGAAGTGCTTGAGTCTTTCCCATACACTGTCGAAAGTTCCAATAAACAGTGTTTCCCACGTGTATTACTATTTTTAGAGTAAATAGGTATAAATGCTCTTATAATTAATAGGAGTATAAATTCACTTAATAGTGGATTAATGGCAGCTTTGAGGAATTCCATATTTGTTTAGCAGGTATTAGTAGTGAAACTGCTGTTGTTGGGTATGTGAGAAGCTTTTCAACATTGAAGAGGGTTCCTTGCAGTCAGAGGCTGAGAACTCTTGCCTTGAAGAAACAAAGATTTTTTTTTTTTGAACAAAAAGGTTTAGTTCATTAATCCTAGTGACAGAGCTAAAAGAGGTTATGCCAGTGGTTGATACAGAATAATGGATGCTTTGCCTTCTCTGGTTTCTTTCCTTCTACCTAAGTAATGGTGTTCACCCACACATTATGTCTAGTTTGGCAGCCTTGAACAGAAGCTGGCGTTGGCAGAACGCATTCGAGGCCACGTCCTGTCATTGGCACTGCAGATGTATGGCTGCCGTGTTATCCAGAAAGCTCTTGAATTTATTCCCTCAGACCAGCAGGTAATTGTAAGTTTCCCCTTTAACTTTTCTCTTGGTGTTCGATGTTTCTCCGTGGCACGTGTGGTAGTGAATCCTGTACATTTGTCAGTCTTTAGTTTTCTTTTACGGTTTCCTTTGGTGCTTGTGGCTGCCTTTCTGTGCATGGCAAGCATGAGCTGTGTGATTAATTTTGTAAATTTATAGTAGATCAAGTGTGTTTTGTTAATAAGGCTGTTGGTTTCAAACACTCTTTTCATCAACCAGGCTTCAGTAGGTGTAATTTTACAAGAGACAGTTTTGTTTGATAAGAAAGCCAGTAAAATACTAGTAAGTTGTTGTTGTGTTCAACTTGAACTAACCACTCCGGCCAATCAAACTTGGATTATCCAGCCCACCTTCCATTTTCCTTCACTTCTTATTCATTCATTCCACCACCTTTTACTGAGCGAGTGCCTGGCCTGGCACACTGACCTGGTGCCCGCTCTGTGCCAG